TTGTTCTATTATTGTCCTCTCTCCTTAATAGTAGTTTTTTTCTCATATTCTCTAACACTCAGTAACTATTTGCATCCTAGTGGCTTTATTGCCCTTGATCTTCAAAAATTTAAATGCAATCTCAATCGTTATTTTCTGTCTTCTTAATTCTTGTTCTATTATTGTCCTCTCTCCTTAATAGTAGTTTTTTCTCATATTCTCTAACACTCAGTAACTATTTGCATCCTAGTGGCTTTATTGCCCTTGATCTTCAAAAATTTAAATGCAATCTCAATCGTTATCTTCTGTCTTCTTAATTCTTGTTCTTTTATTGTCCTCTCTCCTTAATAGTAGTTTTTTTTCTCATATTCTCTAACACTCAGTAACTATTTGCATCCTAGTGGCTTTATTGCCCTTGATCTTCAAAAATTTAAATGCAATCTCAATCGTTATCTTCTGTCTTCTTAATTCTTGTTCTTTTATTGTCCTCTCTCTTTAATAGTAGTTTTTCTCATATTCTCTAACAATGAGTAGCCCCTTGCGTCCTAGTGGCTTTATTGCCTTTGATCTTCAAAATATTTTTTTCTTTTTATTCTTTGAATCTCAGCAACCCCTTGCCTTGTATGGGGTGAAACGATTGGAAAAAAAAAGTGTTATACATTTTAATTATTGCTGCTGTTGGAAGTCTCGTGGTTTTCATTATTTGGTGGAACTGTGATTTTGTAACCAATTACATCTTATGCAGGGTTGTCTTCTTGAAGACCCATTTTGGATTCACTCACCTGAAGCCATTTTTAAACCATCTGAGGAAAAGAGGCCCGGTGGAGTAATGGATAGCGGCTTGGATTGAGGAATCGGAGAGCCGAGTTCGAATTCCAGTCGAATCCATTACTTTCACTTATGTTCTCATACCTTTGGGAAAGATGTGAATCCTCTTTTTCTCCTCCCATCTATGGGTAAATAGCAGGACAGGCCTTGGATGGCAACTGGTCTACCGCAGAAAGAAATGGCAACCTACTGCGGAAAAAATCTTCCTCGTCAGTCATGTACTGAAAGCTACATGATCGCCTAAGCGTGTATCACGCATGGAACATAACTGACTTTCCACTCGAATCCATTACATTCACTTACGTGCGCATACCCTTGGGAAAGGTATGGATCCTCTTCTTCTCCCACCAGCTATGGGTAAATAGCAGGACAGACTGAATGGCAACTGATCTACCACAGAAAGAAATGGCAACCTGCTGCGGGGAAAAATATGCCTCGTCAGTCATGTATCGAAAGATACCTGATCACATGACACGTAACTAACTGATCTGAGAAAACGTTGTATATAGCTGACAATTTAGAGATTCTGAACGATTCAGACGCCAATGATATATTTTTTTGGGGGGGGGGGGTAACAATAAGATTCACCCTGTACAAGTTTCGGTGGCCTCTCGAGGTGGAGGGTTACGTTAAGGAGTTGTTTAGTTGGATAGGAGGAGAAGATAATGGTTGTCTTTCGGCTTAAACATTTCGTTAACCGTAACAGTATATCGAAGCTCTGTAAATAAAGCGAGGCTCAACATTTTAGAATGTTATCAGCAATGAATCGTTTCGTTCGTTCATTCATTTCTTTCCTCGGGTAATTCCTCAAGACCGTAGCAGAGATAAATGGTTTTTAGGGGTGGCAAAAAAAAATTTAGAATTTAGCCTTAAGTTATGAAAGGCCGCCAACATGTTTAGCAGCAATTTAAATTTCCAGTATCCCCTTGCTTTGATAGATTTTTTCTCTCTTTTCTTTCTTTATTGTATTTTTTTTAAATAAAAACCTGAAAAAAACACTAAAATTGGTAAGCCAAGACCCCCCCCCCATTTCATCCGGCTGCTACGGCCTTGTAGTGTGAATACCATCAGGAACACCACCGTCCTGATACAAGCATAAAGATTACACTAATATTAAGATTCGACTGTGTATACAAGTCGGGGTTCCTTTTTCTATTTTTATCTAGTAAAAAAACTGATCTCGTTATAAATATTACATTTTTACACTGCTACTACTGCTACTACTAATACTACTACTACTGCTACTCCTCTTTACGCAAAATAAATTATTACATCAGCAATCTCTAACGTTGATTCTAAAACTGCATATTTCCAAGGGTAAGTTCTTCACTTGATGGAGGGATACTGGATTTGTAATATCTAATAGAATACTCATATTTACATGATTGGCTTTCATTGTCCTCAGGCATGAAATATCTGGACGGTTTTTTTTTTAATTTTTTTTTTATTGCAATAATCTGAAACATTGTTTCAGGACTTTTCTCGCTGGTCTTTCTTCAGACAGTTTCCTACGAAAACGAACCTTCTACCTTTAGGGTTTTACTCCAAAGTACGCATTTGTCTTCTTTCGAAATCTATGAATTTTAACGACTCGGTATTTCAAATATCTATATAAAGTTGGTTGTTTATTTGTTATCGAACTCCTCCTAAGGTTTTGGAGATAGACCCCATAACCATATATAGTCTGAAACTATGTTACCCAGGGTACTTGGATAAGTATATAAAGTCGGGGATCAGTTTTATATTGTTATTTAGCAATAAACTGATCCCTCCCAGAATTACTAGGCTTTAATATACTACTATTACTTCTTTTAAATTAAAATAAATTA